TTAGGTAGGCGTGGTTGACTCTTAACTTTTATAAAGAATATCTCTTTGGATTTGAGACTTTAGTCTTTGCAACTTTACAGATCTTATTTATGCACCAAGAGGTTGTAACACTTCAAAGAGAAAGGAAAAATTGAAATCACATCATATGACCCCTTTAATAAATGTTTATAGTCTAATACCTTATTATTTTTTTACATTATTTTATTTGTATTTTAAACTAAATATATATTAAACATTTTCATATCAAATCAAGAATCATGATACTTATGATCAACTTCATAGATATTACAAATAGTATAGTTTAGTAAGATTCCTTTTATTAAATCATGTGTTTGTATTAGTGCAAAGTATAAGATGTGAAATTGTCTCTCTCTTTATTCACAAGGAAGTAGCATGTAAAGACAAAGTATCAGAAAACAACATTTCTTACATTGTTTGGGGAATTCCAGTGTAATTAAAATCCTAACCCCTTTCAATTTCAATTTGTATCTCTCTCTCTCTCTCTCTCTCTCTCTAGCTCTCTCACTCTCTCACACACTCACACACTCACACACACACACACACACACACACTAGCTCTCTCACACACTCACACACTCCACAGCCACATATTCGCGAAAACTGACAACTACAGCGATCTTTTCCCACACACTAAAATACAATGTAAGTACATCTTACCAAAGTTAATCGGACTTGTTTCCGTAAGCATCCACTGAATCCGTTCTCAGGGCGCAATTTTAACTCGCGTTTAGTCCCGCGGAAAGCTGCTGATTCTTATTCTTCTTCTTCTTCTTCTTCTTCTTTTTCTTCTTTCTCCAGAATCTAGACAGACAGCAGCTTTGCGTCGCCCCGCCTCCCCCCGCGTGTCTATACACATAGTTACCGCGACGGCCAATCGCGGGCGGCCCTCGCGACACGGTCTCCGCCGATTGGGCGAAACGCCTGACAGCTCGATCGCGATTGGCCGAATGCCGCGCCTCTGACTGCCCTTTAGGGGTGTGTCCTGACGTCATCGCTCGGCCGCTAAGAGGTAAACAATCTGTCCCTCACAGTGTTTCTGTGTTAGAAACGTTACAGATATCAAAAGTAGGTCATTCACGTTCAGAAGCTGATAATATGCAGGATTTTATTGCAATTTATGACTGGGATTTCCTTTACAATTAATATAACTAATATTTAATATTATTATTTTATCATTGCCAACTATATAAACTGATATTGTTGGACATCCAGGGTAAATAACAGGGTCATTTTGTTTGGTAAATAATATAAATACAATGTTACATGAATATGTAGGTTTTTATTGCAATTTATGACATAATTTGTGGGGATTTACTTTTAAATCAATATGACTATGTGACTAATATTTAATATTATTATTATTATTATAGTATGGATATCCAAGAACAACAGGGTAAAATGTACCACTTTTTGTAAATAATATAAATACAATGGTACATGAATACAGTAGTCATTCAGTTGCATGGATACATATCAAAATATAATTTAGGTAAAAATTATTTTAGCAGTATAATAAGTGGATGATGTCAAAAATATGTAGGATTTCACGTGTTGTGTTTTTGTAAATAATACAAATACAATAGTCATTCACTTGCATAATATATATACTGTATATAAAGTGGGTAAAAGTGATTTCAGTAGCATAATAAGGGAATGATTTAATTGCAATTTTTATGGCATAATTTGTGAGGATTTACTTTGCAATCAATATGACTACATGATTAATATTTTTATTATAATTATATGATTGCCAGTAAAATATACTGATATTGAACATCCAACAACAACAGGGTAAATTGTACAAAATCTGGGTTTTTGTAAAAAAAAAAATATATATATATATATATATATATATGTAGAATTGTATTGTAATTGATTGTACAATTTGTTGACATTTCCTTTTCAGTCAATGAATATATAACTATTATGTATATTATTATTATTATACTGTATGATTGCCAATAATACAAACTGATGTTTTTTGTTTTTGTTTTTTGTGTTACAGCAATATGATTAAAGCCATTATTTATATAATATATCAGTTGCATGGTATAAACATGCAAAACAAATAAAATCTTTGTAATTTTATTTAGCTGCAACATGTAGGAATACTGTAGGAATTTACTAATCCAGTGGGATCCTGTTTGATTCTTTGGGAAATTCCCATCAGGCTCCTATAGGATTATTCCCTAATTATGTTATGAATTCCAGGACTAATCCTGTATATACTGTGAGTACATTGTGTCTGTGCCTGTGTCTCATATATCTCATGTGTCTCATGTGTAATGTATACAGTAGATCACGTGAAAGCGTAGGCTGGAATCTTCTTTCAGCTGTACTGATTCCATATGTTGCTGCTGCCACTGTGTGTGTGTGTGTGTGTGTGTGTGTGTGTGTGTGTGTGTGTGTGTGTGTGTGTGTGTGTGTGTTTTCCTTGATGAATAAAAGTGTTAATTTATTTTTTTAACTCCAAACATTCAATGGGTTCCACAAAAATATAAAGCGTTCATATTTGAATGATTTCTGAAGATCACGTGACACTGAAGACTGGAGTAATGATGCTGAAAATACAGCTGCGCATCACAGAAATAAATTACAGTTTAACAGATATTCACACAGAAAACAGCTGTTTTAGATTGTAATAATATTTCAAAATTTAAAAAAAAAAAAATCAATATTTTTAATCAAATAAATCCACCCTTGGCGAGCAGAAGAGACAAAAAAAAAGTATTTATTCCAATTCTTATTTTTAGAACTCACCCAGAAAGCCTTGCAACCTTAACCATAAACGACTCTAAATTAAACATTTAAAGCGATAGTTCACCTACGTCGTCATTTACTCACCCTCGTGTCAAACACAAAAGACACGTAAAAAGAAAGTCATATATGAGCGTGTATGGTGCGCTTTCACTTGTCAACATGACTGCATGACTGTGCATGGATGACCAAGCTTATATAAAGTTTTCTCAATGTTTCCGTCCCGCCCGTGTGTGTTGAGGGTTGAATCTAGGCCATCTCGTCAGCTTTGTGTCTGCGAGGCAGATCAGGATCGGGGGGGAAGGGCTGGAGGGGATCCGAGAGTGCTTCCCGGGTCAAAGGGCAAGTGCGATCGGAGAGACATGTTTGTGCACATAGAGGCATTTCAAGAGCTTTCTGTGTCTGACAGTCATCGAAGCGCTTTGAGATGAGCTCTCATCGGTCAGGCTACACAGGAGGAGATCTGTGCGCTCCGGTCCTTTACTGGGATCCTACCCCTGCATCCAGCTGGAAAAACAAACACAGTGTGGGAGTGAGCAGAGAAGAGAAGAGCTTTGATGGAAACGCTGAACTGGAATATGAAGGAACTAGATTTTCTGCGAACGTCACCGCTGGAGGTTTCACTGCATGACTTGGAGCTTGGAGTTATTTTCTGTAACTAAAAGTAGAACCATTAAAAAACATTTTAAGTACTTGAAATAAAATAAACATTAACTGAAATAAAATATTTAATATTTTATAAATGAAAACTGTCATCATTTACTCACTCTCATGTTGATTTCAAACCTACACGGGAAAGTTATATTTATAAATAAAATTATAACATAATACAAAATATATATTATATAATATAAATTTTATATAATTATAGAAAACATATTGTATGCATAATATAAATATATTTATTATACAGTATAAATATATAATAAACATTGTTTTAATACAATAATTCGATTTTTTTTTCATTTAGTTTACCATGACATCAATTAAACTAAAGCTGAAATAAAAACGAATAAAACACATATGGACATATACATAAACTAATACAAGTGACAAAAACACAACAAAATGACTAAACTTTAATTAAAATTAAAACATGAAAATACAAAAATGTTAAAATATTGAAAATAAATAACAAAATATAAAAAACTTGAAACGAGGCAAAATTACTCATTTTCATGTGGTTTGAAGTACTGAAATAACGTGAACTGAACAAGCTACAACTTAAGAAAACAGACATTTAAAAATAATGATGATGATGATGACAAAAGCATCCAACAAAATGACTAAACTTTCATTAAAATTAAAACAAAATACAAACATTTAAAAATAGAAACGCTTCCTCCAGTGAAAAAGTGTTCTGGTGTGAATCAGGAGAGAAATCTGCAGATCAAGCAGTGTTTAAACAGCTCTAAACACATATGTGGCTGGATTTTGATGCGAGAGACAGCAGAAGATGCACTTTTTCACTGGAGGAAGCGTTATTATGGATTATGGACTCAATGTATTTTAGTTAAAAACGTCTTAATGCTGGATTTGTTTCATGTGGCTGGATTTTGATGCGAGAGACAGCAGAAGATGCACTTTTTCACTGGAGGAAGCGTTATTATGGATTATGGACTCAATGTATTTTAATTAAAAACGTCTTAATGCTGGATTTGTTTCATATTTTGTCTTCTCCAGATGCTAACTGATGGACTGGAGTGCTGTGGATTACTTGTGGATTATTGTGATGTTTTTATCAGACTCTCATTCTGACGGCACCCATTCACTTGCAGTGAGACACTGATGCAATGCTACATTTCTCCAAACCTGATGAAGAAACAAAACTCATCTACACATTCGATGGCCTGAGAGTGAGCACATTTTCATTTTTGGTTGAACTTTTCATTTTTCAATTAGAGACCAATGCTATCGCTCAGGAAGTGCATCGTTCATTTCATTCATTGTCTCAGAAAAAAGCAGACCATGCATGTGCTAATTCTGTTTGCATGTATGTGTGAGCGGTTTCCAGACTCGTACTCTAATGTAGCGCGTGATTTCTGTCAGAACACTGGCATCTTTCCCGCGAGGCGACGCTCCTGACCGCGCGAGCGAGTATGTGATGTCCCTTCCTCGCTCTTCTTCCTTCATAAACAGGTCCACAGCAGCACAGCCTGACCGGTCATGTTCATTTATAATCAAGAGGAGCCGCAGTCGTCGTGCTCGGGGGGTTGCAGCGACATTATCTGTGTCTTTATGCTCATCCATGCAAGTCAACATCTTCAACTATTCTGCGAAATCAAGACAGAATTGATAGTTTAATTTACTACAAGTGATAAAAATTATATTAATAATGTGCATGACAAACAGTCAGAGTTCAGAGGTCACATCCAATAAGACACAAGCAGCTTCCACTTACCGGATCAAAGACGCGCACAGAGGTCAATTAGCTTCATTCTTGACAATTAGCTTCATTCTGGATAATTATGAGTCTAAAGACAGAGGAAGCAGAAGTCATGGAGAGCAGAAGATGAGATCAAATGCTTTATTCCTTTTTGTTGAGAATCATATTTAACCCATAAAGTCTTTATGGCTCATATAGTCTGATACAGTGAGAATATGGAGGAAAAAACAGCTCGATTCTAAAATATGAATTGCTGCAGATGCTGATATTTCTATGATGAGATTCTGATGCTTGTGATGTAAATCAGTGAGATCTTTCTAACAGTAGAGCAGATACTGACATAAAATGAACTAAATAAATATCAGTGGTCGCTCTATATCTCCAGTAATCTTAGTAAGATGAGAGTGAAATGCTCCAAACATATAATGCAGTGATTGAGAGCTGAAGAAATAAAGGCTACTCAGAAGATGTGAGATGTTCTGGAGCCTCCGCTGAGGAACAGTGAAAGTAAAGCTTCTGGAAACAAACGCTCCTCAAAAGATCCTGAGGATCAGATTTGAGATTCTAAAACATGATTGATGGAGAATCAAGTAAAGCTGAGCTGCTTCAGTCCAGTAAGTGTTCATCTGGAGATATTACTGCAGTTATTCTGACCTTTACTTGATAAAAACCAGTCAAGATCTGACTACAGTTACACTAAAAGAGCTTTTACTGGATAAAAAAGGGATGATGGAGCCTTAGAAATTCAATCAGATATACGAGCTTTACCTGAAGCACTATCATCATGTCAAACACTTTAAACAAATCCAGAGTCTTTTGTAAAGCACACTCAGTCATCAGCCGTTCAAGAACATCTCCATTTACTGAAATCTCCACGAGCGTCTGCCAAACCCACATCAAAGCTGACAACAACGCTTTTATAAATGGTGCTTCTTGAAGTCAAATGAGGCTCAAATAAGCTGTATTTTGCTGCTTAGGGTTTGAAATCATTCTAATATGCTGATTTGCTGCTCAAGAAACATTTCTGATTATCATCAATGTTGAAAACAGTTGTGCTGCACAATATGTTTGTGGAAACTGTGATGCATTTTATTTTTTTAGGATTCACAGATGAATAGAAAGTTCAGAAGAACAGCATTTATTTGAAATGGAAATCGTTTGTAACATTATAAATGTCTTTACTGGCACTTTTGAGCACTTTAATGCGTCCTTGATGAATAAAAGTATTAATGTCTTAAAAAAAAAACGATGATTCAAACTCAGATTATGAAGACAGAAGAGTGCAGGTGAGTTCAGGTGAGAGTTTAGCGCGTTCACCTTGGGCTGATGGGTAATCTCTGACTGTTTAACCACACAAATAGATACTGTACGAGATTGTTTAGACTCACGGATGAGAGACCAAGCTCCTGTTTTAATGAAACTGTCTGACGGTCATTTGATTGGAGTCAATGGACCACAAGTCTGAGTCTGCGTAAAAAAACCCACATTTTTTCCCAAACAGTTTCATGTGTCAGGACGGTCGGCTGTCTGCGTTCTCTGGGGCCCGTGGAGGGGGATTTTATGTCTCGCTATTGTTCTATATTGACTTGTGCTCAAGAAAAAACATTAAAGAGCCAAATCGTCAGGACTACAGAATCAGTCGCCTCTGCCAGAGCTAAACTTAGAAAATAACAGGACTCCTTCGCCAAAACACCAAAGACAGTGCCCTGGAAAAATGGCATGGTAAAACAGGCCCAAAAAAACTATGATATAACAATGCATATATAAACCTGCAGACAGGGTTACAGGAGCGGTCGTAACTTTAGAAAGATTCACTGCTAAAAATGTACATGATGCATATCAGGGATAATTAGATTATCAGTGACTCAAACGCACTCAGGCATTATTTCTGATGACGATATCACTGTGTTTGAATAATTATACAAGTTTTAAGAACGCTAAATGGCCAGTTTTCTAATGCAGTTAGAACATTATTTAAAGGTTACTAAAACATTTCTCACAACATTCTGCTAAATTTATTTTCAAACAAAACATAACATTTGAACTTTTATTCCAAGTTATATATATTTTTTAAATCGTAATTAGAATGTTACTTAAAGGTTACCGAAACATTTCTTACAACGTTCTATTAACTTCCAAAATATAACGTTATTTGAACATTTATTTGTAATATTCCAAGAACATTAAAATGTCATGCTTTCTAATGTAATTAGAACCAGTGTTGGGGTTAATGCGTTACAAGCAACGCGAGTTACGTAATCAGATTACTTTTTTCAAGTAACTAGTAAAGTACCGCATTACTTTTTAATTTACAAGAAAATATCTGAGTTACTTTTTCAAATAAGTATCGCCAGTTACTGTGTTTTTTAATTGACTGACGGCTGTTTGAGCTGCGCCCTCTACTGTACAGATGTGAATTTACATTTCCTTCAGCCTGAGGTTTATTCATTTCACATTTGGTGTGAAAAGGCTTTTACATTTGCCAAAATCAGAACTTTTTTCTATTGAAAACAAACAAGCAAGCCTTGCTCAGATGAGAAAAAGTAACACAAAAGTAACATAACACATTACTTTCCATAAAAGTAACTAGATACGGTTTTAGAATGTTTCAGTAACCTTTAAAAAACATTCTAATTATGATAAAAAACTGGACATTTTAATGTTGTTCGAATATTTAAAACAAAAGTTCAGTTGCGTTACTTAGATACTTTTGCGTTACTTAGTTACATTTAAAAATAATGCATTACAAAATGTCGTTACTCCCTAAAAAAGTAACTAATTGAGTTACTTAGTTACTTTTTTGGTGAGTAACGCAATTTTGTAATACATTATTTTTTAAACGTAACTTTCCCTAACACTGATTAGAATGTTGTTTAAAGGTTACAAAAACATTTCTTGCAACATTAAAATGCAATGTGAAAATATAATTAGAAATGTTATTTAAAAGTTACTAAAACGTTTCTTACAAACTTCTAATAACTTTAATTTCACCTAAAATATGAAGCTATGTGAACGCGCATTTTTAATATACTATGAATGCTAAAACATCCCCTTTTCTAATGTAATTAAAACATCATTTATAGGTTACAAAAGCGTTTCTTACAACATTCTACTAACTTTATGTTCACCCAAAATATAACATTATTTGAACGTTTATTTTGAATATTCTAAGAATGTTAATTCTAAGAATGTCCAGGTTTCTAATGTAATTAGGATGTTCAAAGAAAGTTGTTTTAAGAATATTTTCTCAATGCTATGAGAACGTCTAGCAAATATTGATCATGTGTAAGAACGTTCCATGAACATTACGTTAAGAATGTTTTGTCCTAACATTTATATAACTTTTAAAAAACGTTATTGGCTCATATCAAACTCTCCTTCTCGCTGCTTTTTAATGTCATATTTGAATTTATTTGAATCTACCCTAATACATTTTATTAGCATGTTGTATTCTAAGTGTTTTATTTTTATAAATGGCAGGGTTATGATGTGACAGGACTCTATTAATACATGTCTATTAGGTACAATGTGGTTGCGAGGACAGTGAGGGGTTTTTCTGTCTAGTGGTGAGGTTTCCCCTGACTCTAAATCAGAGTCAATGTTTGACCGCTCGGGGTTATTTGTGTCACAAGGCCTCGTCACAGAGTCTTCAGACTTCGACCCGCCTGCTGTTTTTGCGTGATCGTGTGTGTTGAAGCGGCTCTTATGTAACTCCAGAAGCAGATTAACCCCACAGTCAACCGGATGCTTGTTTGCCAAAGACCCTCACTAATGCTGCTGTCGGGAAAGTGCTGAACTTAAACACTTTTGTTGAGCAAATTAGGGACATTTTTTGCACCGTACTAAATTAAACATTGATAGTATTATATTTTAGTAGAGGCTTCATTACATGAAAACCAAGTCCAGGTCACAAAAGATAAGAAAGTAATGCTAATTTGATTTTGAAATTACCAAGATTTTATTGTTTTTATGTATACAAAACACAGAATATATAGTGAAAATATAAAAGAAACTCCAGACAAGAGCAAACAGGTGAAAGGGAGATGAAAGACCAGGGGTTATTATAGTTATCTAAAACTGAAACTAAAATTAAAACCATTAAAGAAAAAAAAAACATAAAAAAGTTAAATGAAATAAAAAAATTAAATATGAAAAACTTCATATTTCAAATAGTTACAAAGTCAACATGTCTCATTTTCATTTAGTTTAACTTGATGTACTAAAATAACTACAATTAAAACGGAAATGGAAATATAAAAATTAATAAAAACAAAAACACACAACAAAATTACTAAAACTTTAGTATAAAAATAAAAATGGATTCAAAATATTCCTAAAAATATAATTGTATCTCAATTATACTAAAATAACACTGCAACAGACATATAAAATAAATCAAATGATCAATCAATATAATGGATTTTCTTTATACAATCCAGTAAATGGAAGGATAAGATTGACTTAATAATGTCACAATGAAAAAAAGATGCCCCATTTCTTACTTATATATATATATATATATTGTCATTTCTTTCTATTGGTTTTGGGATGAAATGTGACCTGGACAGTTTCAAACATGAAATAATTCCTGAAAAACAAATGAGCACAATGTTTTAGATACATGCATCTTTTGATATGTATTCTACATCTTTCGATATTTTACAGAAAAGCCTTTAATTCACATTCACAAGCTGTTTTTATACAGAGAAACGTCTCAGGTTACTTATGTAACCATGGTTCCCTGAGTAGGGAACGAGACACTGCATCCTCTAGGACGAGTTGGTGTTTTTTCAATGTATGCTTCAGACACGGGTCACGAAGAGGCGTTCCCCATAGCGACCCCTAGAGGACGCAGTTCGAAGTTCCCATGAAAGGGAACTGCATTTTTTCCTCTCAGACATTCCTGTAGCTATTGCATTTCAATAAATAAATGCAAGAAACAAATACATGCATAAAATTAATTAATGCAAGAACAAATAATTGCATACAATTAATTAATGCAAGAATAAATAAAAAGTGTACATAACTTAAATATTCAATGTAATTTTTGTGTTTGTTTTATATGAAAGCATCTTCCAAATGCATAAATGTAAACGATGATGTGACTGAATCTGATAACGCCTGAGATATCTGATGATCCACTGACCTTTGACCTGTCAACAATAACATGCACTGTGCACAATATCCTGTGGGAATTAATCAGGTCACTCATTTAAATAATAAACTCAGTAATGGCCAAACTGAAAACCTCAAATGAAATTAAATCTCTAAAGGCACCAACCATCTGCATCGTTGAAATGTTGGGCAAATAATGCATGAGAGATTTAGACATAAATATATTTCTAATCTAATAACATGATACTCAAAAATGCACAAAAATTAGGTAAAACGCTCAGCTGTGTATATGAAAGTTGCTTTGTGAATATTCATCTTTATTTTCAAAAGATTTAATAAAAATGCAGTTAACTTTTTTCTTGTTAAAAATGACTAAAACTTAATAAAAATTTAAAAATTTATTCTAAATATTAAAAACGGTATCTCATAAATAAATGAATAAATATAATGCTTGTATTTATTTTTTATTATTTTATTATAATTGTATTGACCAATTAATGTAATAGCTTAAAAAAAAAAATTAAAATAAAAAAATAGCTTCAAAACATGCCTCATTTTCTTACTTTTTTCTTGTTGGCAAGTTGCAGAGAAAAATATTCCCAAAGTCTACTAGTGTTAACAAAATAAATGTTGTTGTCTGTCTTTTGGAAATGCCTTCAAGTCAGAATCTCACTGAACACTGGCTGCAGTGTTTGCCTGCTTTTAGCCACTCTAAATTTAACGCATGGCTTCCGCCAGTGTCTCCATCAAAGCTGCATTGTGGGGCCTGTAGTTTTGACATCAGCGCGCGGCTCATAAGGCATGTATCCGCGCTCTTTGATTTAGCAGTGGACACGCATGTGCAGCTGCTGCGATCTGTGGCCGTGATGTTCCTGTGTTTGCTCAAGTCTGAACTCGACACAAACCCAACACTGTACAATGACCACGCCACACCTATGAGTTTATGAGTCTGCTCCATCAGGAGTTTAATTATGAGGAAAAAACTCCTGAGTGAGAGACTGATGCTGAACTCAGAACCGAGCATTAGCATACAGACAGACAGACAGACAGACAGACAGATAGACAGATAGATTCTTTCTAGTTACTCCTTTCAAAAGTAATATTATTACTTGACTTATTACTTTCTGGCAACAGTAATTAGTTACACTACTAGTTGCATTACTTTTCCTTCACGCCCCATAGAAGTTGTAATTGTGTATCTTCCCCATAACATTCTTTTAAAATGTTACTAACAATATATTTCCGCCTCATCATTTGACCAAAATCTACATTGGATTGCAGTCAGAAGCTTTTACAAACACTCAGTGGTGATTGATAGTGACTTTTAAGTAAAAGTGTTGTATTAATTGTCATTTGTAGCTTGAAGCTAATTTTAGCTATAATTTCTCTGTTACCCAAATATGATTATATTTCATGAAGTATTTTATCAAAAGAAATCACATAAGTTCATAAGATTTTAAATTATAGTAATATCATTTATATTGGGATCAGAGGGATAATGCCAGAGTAAAGTAATGCCACGACGTACACATCTGTGTTCAGGTCAGCTTTTCTCCTGACAAAATCAGTGTAATGGCAATATTTCCATCCCCTGAATGTAAGCTTTTCCATATTCCAAGCTTTCCTGATGCACTGGTGACTTCATGTGCCAGTGTGTCGTGAAAATGATGAAAATAAATCTAGGAATTATTGGATAGTTGGATTTCAAATCAGTAGGGGTTGAGGCATCAAAAGTAACTAAGTAACAAGCTGTTTTATGGATGGTAACTGTAATATTATTACTGAAATCTTATTAGTAATTAGTTACACTACTAGTTACTGCAAAAAGTAATATTATTACTGTAACTAGTTACTGCTCAACACTGGTGGGTGGATAGATAGATAGATTTGCCCTCTGCTGGTCAGTATGAACATTACAGCCGCTCGTCTCATCTGTGTTTTGGCTTTTGTGTTGAGTTTCTGTTAATGATAGTGAAATGAGTATGTGTGTGTGTGTGTGTGTGTGTGTGCGCGTGTGTGTGTGTGAGTGTGTGTGTGTGTGTGTGTGTGTGTGTGTGTGTGTGTGTTGTAAACTTGCAAATCCATCTTAATCGGTGGTCAAGGAAACAGTAATTAGGTAAATGTTGAGATTAACTCTAATGAGGATCTGGACTAAAGTTACACGAGGAGGTGTGTGTGTGTGTGTGTCTTCATGAAATCACCTTTCCAAACATCCCAATTAACATGATCAGTTGCTTTCGGGACGATGTTGAGGTTTATCTGTCACACACACACACACACACACACACACACACACACACACACACACACACACACACACAAATATATATGACACACACACACACACACACACACACACACACACACACATACAGAAGCGTGTGTGAAGTGTTTTCACTCATTCTTAAGCGTGACTCTCATCAGCTCTAATGAGTCTCTTCTTCTGAGAGTCTGAATCCTCCTGAGACGCTTCAGAAAACAATCAGCCTCCTGAGAAACCCATCACTCCTCATTCACTTCCTCACATTCAGATGAGTGTTTGTGCAGCTCCTGCTCTTTATCTGGAGTCATGTGCACACAGTGTGTTATGTAAGATATTCTCGTGTGTATTAATAAAGTCCCAGAGGGGAAGATTATCAGTCAATAATAACCTAAATAACACATGACCTCAGAAGAGACACCAGTCACATGAACTACTGTTGTTATGTGCTACGTTTAAGTACTTTTTCCACAGATAAAAATAAAATAAAACTATACAGGTTTAGAGTTTCTCAATCATGCTGCTAGCAACAGCAGGGTCGTGGGTTCGATCCTTGAACGCAGCGTGAGTTATTTGGGGTGAAACTGTCTGCCAGATGTATCAATGTAAATGAAGCAAAATGTTTTCATCTTTTGGTGAAGTAAACACTTTTAATATTGTTTCTGCAATCCAGTGTTGCTTTTTTGTTCACGTCATTATTTTTTGGATATTTTAAAAGCCATTTTCTTTCATTAAAATATTTGTGTATTTTTGCAAGGCAGAAAGTGTACGGAAAATAACAGAACAATGTTGGTGTACTGACAAAAACCCATTCAGTTTGTTCAGTAAACATGAAATCTTAGAGAACACATGCACTTTGCTTTTTTTTTTTTATGATTTTGTTATTCAGTAGAAAAGGTCACAGAACTCTGGGAAAAAAAATAAGTTAAAGTTTTATAATTAAAACTAAACACTGCTAATATTGTTGGCTCCTTAATGTTCAATTTATTTATTTATTTTTGCAATTGTTTTAAGTCACTCTGGAAAAATGCATCTGCTAAATCAATAAATGCAACTGATTAAAATGTTTATTATTATTATTATTATTCAACATTATTAAATGTCAACATTTGGCAACAATGCTGATAGAAAATCAAGAGTGTAAAATGTTGAGGGCCCCAGCTAACAGGGACCACTCTCACAACTTTCATTAACATTATTTAAAAATTATATAAATATTAGAATAAAATCTTCTTAAAGTAATGTTGAAATGTTCTATTAATATTTGATATATGGATTTTCCCAGCAACATTAATAGAACATTTGTTGTTCTTTCTACTTGTTTCAAACGTTCCAAGAACTGCAAAATGATAAAATGCAATGTTCCCTCGACATTCACATAACCAAGAAAAAATGTTTTAAAACATTGTAAGAGCTAGACATTTTGAACATTCAGAAATAAAGTTTGGTAACGCTTTATTTTAAGGACCAGTTCTCACTATTAACTAGTTGCTTATTATTATGCATATTACTAGCATATTGGCTGTTTCTTAGTACTTCATGACCATATGTTAGATCCCTTAATCCCACCCCATACCTAAATTTAACAACTACCTTACTAACTATTAATAAGCAGCAAATTAGGAGTTTGTTCAGGGAAAACTCTTAGTTAATAGTGAATATGTGTTCCCTATTCTAAAGTGTAACCTAAAGTTTTTATCACAACTTAATTTTCTCATGATCGCGACATAACAAAAGTTGTTTTCTCGTTATCATGACTTTATTATCTCGTGAACTCAACATAATGAAAGTTGTTTTCTCGTTATCATGACTTTATTATCGCCTGATCTCAACATAATGAAAGTTGTTTTCTCGTTATCGTGACTTTATTATCTCGTGATCTCAACATTGTAACGGAGCCGACGAGACGTGAGACGTGCGGATCCATTTGCAAGGCTTTATTTAGACAGAGACGTGGTCATAAAACAGGAATGGGTCAGACAGTGGCAAACAGGTACATTACAGGCAAGACAAAAGAGGATCCAAAGGAAGGCGTGGGTCGATCTACGGCTAACAAAGAGGGCTTGACAAGAGGGGTAATCCGATAACACGAGCAATGGTCCAGGCAAGGCGCAAACATAGTCCAAACGACAAGACGAGAGAAAATCAAGACAGGCAGATAATCAGAAAACAGGCGATCACAAGACAAAACAAGACTAAGAACTGAGACTGGGAACTAAGACAGAAAAAACTAAACTGACTCCGTAATGTTGCTATCGCTAGGGGAGAGATAAACGCTAACAATCCTCGGCAGTTTGAAAAGGATCTGAGTGGGGGTAATATAGTGAGTGTGTGATTGGTTACAGCTGTGTGCAATCAGTGCAATGGATGATGGGATATGTAGTCCGGGATGACATGCAACAGTTTGTGTAGTGTGAGAGTCAATGCAACGGAAGGGTGACCTCTGGTGGCGATCGAACGGAATTCCATGGACAGGATTCGTGACAAACATAACGAAAGTTGTTTTCTCATTATCACGACTTAATATTTTCTCATGATCTTGATATGACGAAAGTTGTGTTCTCATTATCATGACTTAATATTTTCTTATGATCTTGACATGACGAAAGTTGTTTTCTCATTATCACGACTTAATATTTTCTCATGATGTTGACATGACGAAAGTAGTTTTCTCGTTATCATGACTTAATTTTCTTGTGGTCACGACATGACGAAAGTAGTTTCATGATCTCGACATAACTAAAGTTGTTTTCTCGTTATCACAACCTTATTTTCTCATGATCTCGACATAACGAAGTTGTTTTCTCGTTATCACGACATAATATTTTCTCATGATCTCGACATAACTAAAGTTGTTTTCTCGTTATCACGACTTTATTTTCTCATGATCTCGACATAACAAAAGTTGTTTTCTCGTTATTATGACTTTATTTTCTTGTGATCTCAACATAACGAAAGTTACACAACTGCACCAACAGGTCGCAGTATTGAACTGAATATAACTGATGGGGTGTTGTATACTGTATATCCACCTTACGCGTTTGGGACAGAATAAGGACCTTCTTCGTGATCGCTATAATTTCTGCAGTATTGTTCATTACTGACACTTAATTAACTCATAAATGTTAAATGCTTGAATCAATATGATTATTTTGTGTATTGTTAAGTTCTTGCTAGATGCGTGACTCACCACCGCAATAGCGTGCCGTGCAGAGACCTTTGGAGGAGCAGGTGCTCAAAGTGTCAAAGGGGCACAAGGAACAAGGCTTTAAATAGGACTTGCTGATACGCATATCGATACGGATGCTTCTGTATTGATACAGCAGCAAATGCCATGATGCAGTTTTGAAAAAGAAACACTGATGTGCAGTGTATGTTTCATTCATACTCGAAGCTGGA